AACTATTTGTATATGTGTAATTATTTGCAATTGCGTAACTATGCACGTAGATAAGCGCGAGTGTTTGCGCCGTAAATAACAAGCCTGATTCGCACACATCTGTATTAATCTAGATGGGGAATATTCCCCAGCCGCAATCCTTCTTGATTACTTTATCCGCTGTCTTGAATCCTGACGATACACAAAATGCTGGTTTTGCGCATGTGCATGCGATTTGCAAATTCTAAAGGAGTTTACGATCAACTTCAATTTTCGTTACGGGGAAAGATTCGATTTCCGCGATGCCGATCTCGGCGGGTGGTTCGTTGCGGGCATATATTTTTCGCCCTCTTGTGACATTAGTCATGGCTACACAGTGGGGTGAGGAGGGCTTGCCGGGGGCTCTGATCTGAGGGTAAGCCGCCCGGATTCCCCGCCAGACCAAATCCAGTTTGGGTACAGTGGTAAAACATCGGCCAAAGTACACCTGAAAACCGTGTACCATGTTATATGTGCAAAAACGGTGTATCAATCGTGATCAAAAAGTACAGATTGCTAAATCGTTTAGTTTGTTTAGGTACACGAAAATATTTAACCTCGCCAACATGGACAACACGGCAAATAACACGGATTTGCAAGATTTCAAAACTGTACAAGCAGTAGCTACCGCTAGCTATTGCTAGCTACTGGGCTATAGCGCTGGAAAATCACGTTCCAAAATACCGGAATTTTACACGATTCTCAAGCAATTGTACATTGCGTAAAATGACCGATTTTTTTTAACAGCGGTAGCTCTCAATTTAACAATACATTCAATGAGAAGACTCGAGGCTGGCTGTGAATGATGACATAGGAGCTCTTTAGTCATGTATCGCTTCCGTATCGCATAAATCATGCTCGCCGGTGCAGTCCCTGGACGCCAGCGCATTGATTCTCAGTTACCGTGAGATTCCTTTTTTACCGTGTGCTTAAGAAACCGAACCATTGTGTGAATGACGCGACATTCAATTGACTTTGAATTGAAATTGGCTCAAACTCGCACCAATTCAATGTGAATATTTTTAAATGAAATTGAGAGGCCCCGGCTGCAAAATATGATTGGAGGCTCTGAAGGACAATTCGCACGGTGATGCAAAAAGAATCACCACTGCATCGCATGCAGATCATCGCATGCCTTGCCTCCCCATCGCGGGCGTGGCGACGTGAAGAACGACGGTCCGCACTGATGACACAGCGGCTGCACCGACCATTACTGTAGCTTCGCGCGCTCTGCTTTGTTTTCGTACATCAATCAGAGACTCTGCATGATATTCCTCATTGCGGAAAAGAGTCCCACCTGCGGCTCTTGCTCGGGGAGGGATGGCCATATCATGGCTGCTCCCTATTTCTGTTGCTGAGGACTCCATCGAGAGTTGGACAGCAGTCCCTCGTTGAGCCCAACCAAAGGTGGTGAGCGGTGTCGCGGCCAATCTATGGTATGCACGTCCCGATCGGTGAGCAAATGGATTGAAAGAACATGGCTCTGAGCATATCTGTGGGTGGCGCAACAGCATTGGAATCCATGTTGTCGAAAACCCGAGCCGTGAATTAACGGATTGAGAGAAAACAAGTCTGGGCATCGCTGTGGGCCGTGACGCATCGCATCTGTGCCGCGTCATGTACCTCACTGCGACGCGTACACCATGCCCCAGTGCCGCGTTGCCCTGGGCAGGACCGTTCCAGGAGCCTCGGGGCTGAGAATGCCGGCTATGCTCTAAAATTTAAGAGAATCTGGCCAATTTTGGAATTTAAGCTCCTAAATTTCGGACGGTCATCATCTCTCGCTTCGCTGCATGTTCCCCGATAGAAAACACGTTTCCAAACTGCTGGTCGTCAAACTCGCCGTGGATTACGCGGCTGGAATTTCAAGCTCGATCCAGTGGGTCGGAGCTATGATCCCGGCTCAGAAGTCTGGGCCAGGACTTCGTGGTCTCCATCGCCACCACCAGGGCAGCCGTGGGAGGTCTCTCAATCCTCCCGACAAGGGGCAAGACAAGGTAATAGCCATCACTCCAATCAATCGTGGATAAATAGTGAATTGGCCATTCTGGTGATAATCGCCAATTGACCTTGTTTCGACACTTGAAAGGATTTGGGGCCAGGAGAACGGCTAGAAGGTTAATGTCATGTCTTTAAAAGCAATCGAAACTCACTAGGCTGTGGTGGATTGGGCACCGGGCAAAAGATTGGGCCGCCAATTGGCCTTGCAAGGGTCGTTTGTGGATTTTGAGCTGGGTTGCAAACAGAAGCCTCGATTCAATGCTACAAGGCTACTTTGGAGAGATAGCCCGCGCTCAACCAGCTTTCAAGGTCCTGGAACTTGGCCTTTTCAGCTCACTTAAGTTCTGCGAATCGGAGATCGAGAACATCGCGGATTTTCAGCATCTTCGTTTCCGTTGCAATGGCCACCCTCGAGAAGGATCCAAGCACTGTTGGGCGGATTTGGAAAGAGCTACGGCACGTGCTGGATGGCCCCCTTCGCGGCGGCAGTGGCCACGACTGTCATTGCTGCTCGCAGGCACGGGAGCGGCCCAGAATTGAGGGGGTCTCTGGGAACACAAAACCTCAACGGGCTTTTTTTGGACCGACGCAGGGCAATTTTCAGAGGCCGCTCACAGGGGTGAGGGTTGACTTGTTTTCTTTAAAATTTTCACCTAAGTGTTTTGAGACCCAATCTTTCCGATTCTGGCCTTCTTTTCTATTTCAGATGCGATTTTCATCACGAAAATCCTCATTCAAATAGATGACAATTAATCTTGGACGGGTGACGTATATGTGCTCGAAAAACATGCCATTTGGTCCTTTTTGTTTTAATGGTTGGTGAAGGAGGCCGTGGTGCCCTGCTGGGGTTCGGCGCTGATGTGAATTGCACGTCAGGCAACACTATTGCTGGAAAATATGGCACAAGGCTCAGAAGTTTATAATACTCAGTTGACCGTTTCCTCCCTGAAACGGGTCTAGGCGATGATGTATCCAGATTCAAGTGGTGCGGTTGGATGTGCGCTGCACCCCCCCAGAGGGAAGGGCGCCTTGTTTTAGGTGGACGGCGATTCGCCAACTGCTCAATTTGAGGGAGGAAGTGGACTGTTTCTGACTGGTTTTTAATTCAGGGCACAGACGTCGTACGCCAGAGAGAGCGGCGCAAAAGCTGTGAATGTGTCGTGGAATCGGAGCTTGGTGGCGGAGTCAGCAATTGCAGGAATAAATTGTGGAGGAGGGTGCATTGCGGAGTGCTTTGAAGATGCATTACGATCATCTAGATGTTTGATAGATCTGGCAGATCTGCCGGCAGGGCGTCAGGGAAGCGTGCGGAACAGGGCGATTGTGTCCTGTGCGCAAGCTTGCAGAGCCAGGACTTAAGTCCTGGTTCTGCAAGCTAATGGATGGTCAATGGCAGCTGTTCGCCCTGAAAATGTGAAGGAATGCAGCATTATTAGAGGCGATGGAGACAAAGGGCCGCTGATATGCCGAAATGGCCCCTGGTGGTCCCCTTTGCCGACTCGCCAGAAGCATAGCTTCGCCGTGCCAGTGTTACGTACACTGGAAATGCACACATGGGAAAGCATATGTGCGAGAAATCGATGCGTTACAGCCGATTTGCCTTTAGCCTCACAACTCCTGTGTTCATCGAGCTGTGTTGTCAGAAATCCGAGTAGTATCCTGCCAGAATCCAATAAGGGACAGCGGCCTTCCGCCATGGACAAATCCCGTTGGTACTCCCGCAATCGTGACATGTCAGGGACATGGCCGCCACGGCACGACATTCACGACAGACAGCCTTGCCTGCCAGTCGCAGTCTTGGCGATGCCACGTCCGCCGCACCTGACCCAAAGCACAGCCCCGCGCGCAGCGCCCTGTGACCAACAAAGCAAGTGCTCTCAAGCTAAGCAAAGCACCGCCGAGACCCCCCCGGCCCCCCCTTTCCCTCAGCTCAAAAATCCCCGGCCGGCTTGTCGTCAGGGGTCGCCAAACCGTGCCTCAACGGGTCTCTGAACGTCAGCAAACGATGACCAGAGCGTTTCCTGTCGGTTACACAGCACCGCCGTACCGCTGTCGCGGTACGAGCGGTACCGCTGTCGGCCCCCTCGTGGCACGGCATCGCATCACGGGTGTGCGGAAATATTCTGACTGCGTCCTATCTGGCGCACCACAAGAGCCATCCCCTCAGGACACCAAGGGCCCACAAAGCGGTTCCCTGGCGCCCTCGCAGCCCCGTCCCGCACCCCCAACCGACGCGAACTCGGCGCTTGAAACGCCCTCAAGCCCTTTTCCCACTGGCATTGCGCCCCCGCTCATCGAATCTTTGCCTCCCTTGGGCCTTGGATTGAGAATGGCGGCAGCCGCGGTCGATCGGCTGGACAAGGCGCGCCAGGAGGCCGACCTGGTGGTGGTGGCCTTCTACCGCGGGCTGTGGTGCCCCATCTGTGGCACCTGGGTGTCCATGTGGCGCTCCCAGAATGCGGACCTTCTGGCCGACCTCAAGCGTCTCAACGCACGCCTGATCTTCGTCACCTCCCAGACGCAGGAAAAGGCCGACGCGGGCGCCAAGAAGTGGGGCCTGGCGGACGATGAGGCGACTTCTGCGGGCGTGATCTTCCTGGGGGATCCCGAAAACGCCGTGGCTGCGAAATTGGCGACTGAAGGCGTGTTGGCGGTCACCGTGAGCGGCGCCCCTGGACCATTCTCCAGCCACGGGTACACCTACCCCACGGGGATGGCGCAGCCGGGATGCGTGGCACTGAAGAAGGGTACCCAGGCGCCCGTGTACAGATGGGAGCTGGTGCCCAAGGCGGCGAATATGGGGGGGGCCACGGACAGGCCGCTGCCCAGGGAGGTGTGGGAGTACATCAAGGCGGCAAACGCGGGCGAGGCGGGTAAAGTTGCGCCGCAGGGCAAGACGGGGGTGTATTTGAGGAAGGCTATGTGCGCGATTGCGTAAATATTGGGGCTGTGTGAATCAAGCAAAAGGGCGGGGAGTTTTCATGTCGGCGCGTGCCGGCAAGGATGGCCGGTCAGCGCGTAGGGGCAAGACGGGGGTTACGCCTGAGGAAGGCGATGTGCGCCCCAGCGTGAATCTGGGTGGTGTTGTGCCACCTGACAGGGCTCTTCAGCCGGTGGCAAGTGATTTGGAGTTTGCTGCTGGTGGAGGGCGGCTGTGGGTTGCCGGCGACGATGTGGGAAGTAGGGACTGGGCTCATCAACCGGCGGCAGGTGATTTGGAGTTTGCCGCCGACGGCAGGGCTGGCGATGGGCTGTCGGGGATGATGTGGCAAGTGGGAGACTTTTTTCTCGTCGTGTAGTGGTGGGGGGCCGAGAGGCCCGTGCAGGGCGCGGCTGCGGGATTGCGTGCGAGGGGCGGCGCGAATCGGCGCGGACTGGGCGGGGCGTCGCCTTGCGCCTTTCGGTAGCTAGTTGCGGGGGCCGGAGTCGGGTTCTGGCGGGCCGATCTCTTCCATGATAATCTCCACGCCCACGCCGGGGTTTGGTTTGACTTCCGGAAGTCCGCTCTCGTGGGCAGCTCGCGACGTGCGACGACATGCGGAATCGCGAAAGCGGAAGGGCAACCGGGAGCTTCCGGTTCCTGGTTCAGCTGGAGGACCCCGGCCTCCTGCCAAGGGACGATGCCTGGCTTTCCGTGTCTGGACCCGTGCTGGGTTTCGCTCGAGGATTGTCGGAGCTTGTTGGCGCGGGGAGGGCGCCTGCTGTCATGCTTGCCCACCAGGGTGTCCTGGCATCCACGGCATCATGGCGAACGCGCAAGCTTGGGCGCGCGCACGCTTGGACGCGCCCACGCCCGGTGCCAAGCCTCGAGGGGCGACGAGACAGGCGAGGGCGATTTCAGCTTAGGCGACCTCCAGGTCGGTCGTCGAGGTCGGTCGCTTGGAGCAAGGCGCGGCGTGACAAGGCCGACGATCGAGCGGTGGGGTGTGAGGCGCGATCGACTTGTTTGCTTGGGCGGCTGTGGGGCAGCGGGTTAGCCGGGGGACCGAGTAGGCGCCAAGCGACGGGAGTCGGGGGTGGTGCGCTGCGGCTGTGTGCCGTCGCGGTGTGCGCCGGGCCTGCATGAGGGGACTTGGCATCGGGCAGGGATGGGACAACCTCGATGCGAAGCTGAATGGGTCGCACGAATCAGAATGCATCGGAGGAGGGCGCGCATGGCCCGCCAAAAGACGCCCTGGGGAACTGTGGATGCGACAGGGATAGGCTTTTTGTGTTTTTTTTCTCTTTATTTCCAATGTGTTGTTACACGAAAATGTTACCTAAGGATCTCCCCCGCAAATGGTAACAGCGAAAGGATCCTTTTCCAGCAGGTGCCGATGTAGGGTCTCGAGACAGGGAAAGAAGGAAACTGGGATAGGTTGCAAGTACTGTTCTTCTTTTCCTTGAATTCCTTGCATCAAGAACTTGTGTCCGAATGCAGTCCAATGTCTGCGCCCATTCGCGAGGACATGCTTGGGGAACAGTTTGGGTCACACCGGCTACGCAGCTGTGTTGCGCATTCGGAATCTTTGTCCCAATCCTCTGCCCATTTGCAGAATTTTGGGCATCCATCAAGTGCGGCCCAAGAGCCATTTACGAAACCGATAATTGGGAAACAGTGCTGCACAGAACAACTGGCTAACAGGAAACTTCATCCGGACATTGAATTCCAGGACCTTCACTCGTGGAAAGGACTGTGACAAACACAGCCTTTGCAGATTATCGGCGATTATCACACCTTTTTGGAAAGTGGTACCAGGCTTATTAATAGGACCCCTTTGTTGTGCAACTTTCTAACGTACGGGGTGTTGATGGGCGATCACGGACTCCTTCCCATCCAACGCGCCCCCTTAGAATCTATCAGGTACTTGTGTGGCGATGGCCTATTTTTGGAGATTGTTCTACGTGTAAGGTACCAGCAAACATGTCAAACTATATGTAGGCACAAATACCCACGACTAGCAGCTGGTTGCTCGTGAATAATGTGTCTAGTCCTTGGTAAACACGGTTTAAATTAGCTATGCGTGGTTCTGTTGTTGATACTGTTGCCACAAGGAACCAAATTGCGGTAAATGTCTGTTTGGATTTAATGAGCTGATACTAATATCAGCAGTAGCGAACAATATCGAACCCTGCTCCACGGGTGCTATGCAAGGATTGGCAACGTTCTGTCAAATGCAACGTTTGGCGGTTGCCAACAGTTCGGGTCGCCAATTATGGGGCTCATCCAAAAAAATAGTATTTTAATGATACCACTCAGTGGGCAACGCGTGAGGTCCAGGAGTGGGGAGAGCGCGTGTGTCGACAGCCTTAGCACCTCCACTAATATGACCACCACTCAACATGTTGGTGCACAGTAAGGCGGGGCGAGCCCAAAAACATCAATCAAGGGTGCTCCAGAATTTTCTAGTAATCCAAGCCCAAGGCACCCAGAATGCGAGGAGATGACTTTATTGGCAACTTCACTAGATCCCTAAAGCACCCACAGCAATGCAGTTGTGATGCCGGACACAGCCCCGGTATGTGGCGGCGTGTGTCGCACGGGCACACCGGTGTAAGACATGTGTGGAAAGCACCATGAACTAGTGAGAAGCACGCAGGTCGCTGGTGGGCACATGGTTTGCTTCGCCAAGGGGTGCATCGGTGCGCGACTGGGAGCATTAGGTGCAGAAAGGCTTGGCGAGTCGGGTTGCGTAGGTTTTTCTGAGCAATGCTCGTTGATCGACCCGGGACGGCCGTGGCTGGCCATGGTGCTGCCAGTGGGGGACGGCAAATACGGCCAAATCGCCGATTGAGACGGATCGAGGTCGAAGTTGCTGGGGCGTGGGGTGGGTGGGTGGGTGGGTGGGTCTGGCAAATGGGCAGGTCTTTCAACCTGCGTGGTCGGCTGTGTGGCGGAGCGCCGTGTTTTCGAGCGAGCGCGGGCGCCATGGATGCACAGAACGGGAAGTCGCAGGTCTGGTGCAAGAGGCATGCAAATGTACTGCAGCTGGATTTGTATTCCTGGCATGGTGCTGGAGAATTTGACATCCTGTGGCATGCCAGCTGCTCACAAGTGTGCCCCTAGCTCCGAGCAAGATGGTTTGTCACGGAAGGCTGGGTGCCATCAGTCAGGAAAATGGACTTCTGGAGTTGATCGAGTCTGGATTTGAAAAGATCAATAAGTTGCAAGTCAGACTCGCAACATGCTGCTGTTATTCCAAGTTACGTAGAGGGCTTTTAAAGAAAACATTTGCAAAAAGACTTCACCTCAAGCGGATCCTTAATGAATAGGTTATGACATTTTACGTGCGATGGTGCCATTTGTGATGGAGGGGGGCTGCCCCCATCGCGGTCTGCCTGCGGAGCATGATGAGACGGAGCCAAGCGGTGTGTGTGGAGGCGCCACGTGGCAGTGTTATGGGAATATGACCCGCGGGGTATTCTGTGGCTGCCGACCGCGCGCGGAAGTGGGGTGTACCGGACCGAATTGGGCGATGCGATGGAGTTATAGAAGGGTTCCAGAGCACCAAAGGATTCCTTCACGAGAACGGGGTATAATGTGAAGTGTTGGACGCCTTGGAGGGGCCGGATATAAGAAAGGAGAGCGCGAAGAGCCTCGCAGGGGATAATGCATTGTTGAATTCAGCATGGCAGTTGTAACAACGGCTGCGTGTGGTTTCTTTATTGGAGAGCGGCTGTGACCGGTTTGGCCCTCTGGAGGGCAGTTGTAAGAGGCCGTACAAGAGCGGTTGCGTGCTTGACGGTCAACTGGATGCTTCTAACTCGTCTGAAGCTTCCCTTGTTGTGGCAGCTATTTTTGGTAGTTGTCATCGTCAAGACAAGCAGTGTTTCGTGAAGAGCCAGCTCGCACAAGCGGCAAAACTTGTTCGTTCAATGCACACTCAACTGGCGAGGTACTGAGGCTGTCGGCGTGGCTCAGCCGCCCGTTCAGGGGTGATTTGGATATGCTATCTCCGGGGATGATGGCGGGAATGGAACGCCACACTTTACATTGTTTCGGAGCGCAAGTTTCAGTCTTGACTCTGATGACCACAAGCTGGGGAGTGGTTGAATTCACCTCTTTTGAAGAACTGCCTTAATTGACAAATATATACGATGATGGGGATGCCAACTCTAAATATGCTAATCAGTCAGCAGATTCAAAAGATGTGATCAATGGTGAGGGTATGAAAATTTTATTGGAGTGTGCAAAAAATGATATTGCGCTGTTCCATGAGAGGATCAGTGATGGGGGCAATGGTGAAGGCCCTGGCTACACTAAGGTTCGATTCTGACTTTGAGGGATCTGAGGAGGTGCGGCTGCCCATTCAGTTCGTCACCTTTCCGCGGAACTGGTTACTGCTGGGTTATGCTACGGCGTCACAAGTCCATCCTACTTTGAACTCGGGGATTTGAGGAATCGTACCTTGGCTGCAATGGAGAAGATAATCATTGACTGATTTGCTGCAAATGGACAAAGCTCATTGGCAAGGGACCGGTTTCGTGCTGTGCTCTGGAGGTGTTGCCATGATACTCAGCTGAATGGGTGAGGACATTTTCTTCTCTGCCGGTAGTCACAGCTGCGAAATTCTTTGGAGCATTGGGTATATGGACAGAATTGGATGATCTCTGGTGATCATGAGTTCGCGTTGAATCTGCGCAAGGGGGGCCCTCTTGGTCTTTCAGCACACTCTCAAAGAACGTGGAGCTGAGGCTGTCGACGTGGTCAGCTACCCATGAGTGTGGGAGAGGGTCATGCGTGATTCCCATGGCGACCATCGACATACAGAATGGTCGTTGCGCCATCAACGGGGTTTGGGTGTTGCGACCATGGATATGTGGGCATCTACGGTTGCTGTGTACTACCAGAGGGTTCCCATGCATTAGCAGTTGGGGCCCTTACATCGTTTCTCCTTCCACTGCGGCGCACATCCGAAGATTCTACTGGCCGTCAGGGCCGGTGGAGTTCTACACGACCAAAAGATAGAATGAAAAGTTGATGAAACTCGTAAATGCAAAAATCTCGGAATGGTGCGTAATACTCCGCAAATGCACTCCATGTCGCGCTCGAGGTGCACGTGCTCCTACGAGGGCGGCGTCGACATTCCCCAATGGCGGCGCGCCCATCTGGACCATCGACAGACGTTCAATAGGTTACAATGATACAAAGGTGCCACCGAATCCCTTCGCCAAGAAAATGAACCCGTAGGGACACCTCCATACAAATCCAACCACATTCCCGCCTCCACAGACGCCCAAACGCAGCGGGCCATATGGAGCCGGGCACACAACCCACCCATCCATTTTATGCGCCTTCCCCCCCGGGGCGGGCGTTCGC